ACAGTGTCAATCTGGTTTTTTAATGTGAGTTTTAATCTATTAGTGTTTCACATAAGAAACTTGTGAAAACTCTTCCAAGCATATTACTTTTTCATTACATAAGAACCCTGTAATTTTACATGCCAGAGAAGACAGATCACCTCAAAATGAATGCCTATTCAAATCTATAGAACATTATTTTAGATGCACTGTTCTTTTTCTGAACCAAAAAGACCTGAAATGTGTGAGGAAACAAATGACTTCCAATCCAGCTTCAGTAAAATGTATTTATTGTGCTTTTGGTTTCCTCCTAAAAAAAATGACTGTGGAACCTGACAAATTTAAAATGTACAACTTATACATAATAGATATTTGGAGGCAAATGCAAAAGGTAAAAATCTTTACATTAAGAAAGTGAACATTTAAAAGAAAAACAACTTTTCTTTCTCATTTTGATTTTGATTTTCTCTCTCTGCTGCATCATAAAATATTTGAGATTTGTTTACTTATGTACTGTTATCATCACATATGGCATGTTTCGGAGTTAGCAAAAGAAAAAGGGCCGATCCCTGCCCCAAGGAACTTACAATTTAAATTTCAGCAGAGGGAATAACAGAGAGAGGAGAGAAAGAGAGAGAAGGGAAACTAGACTAACACCAATAACTAAACACGTAGCCCAGGACTCTCAGAACTCTAATTGTAAGTGACTCCACCTGTAAAAAAGGTAAAGGGACCCCTGACCATTAGGTCCAGTCGTGACCGACTCTGTAGTTGCGGCGCTTATCTCGCTTTATTGGCCGAGGGAGCCGGCGTACAGCTTCTGGGTCATGTGGCCAGCATGACTAAGCTGCTTCTGGTGAACCAGAGCAGTGCACGGAAACACCGTTTACCTTCCCGCCGGAGCGGTACCTATTTATCTACTTGCACTTTTTGGGGTGCTTTCGAACTGCTAGGTGGGCAGGAGCAGGGACCGAGCAACGGGAGCTCACCCCGTTGTGGGGATTCAAACTGCCCACCTTCTGATCGGCAAGTCCTAGGCTCTGTGGTTTAACCCACAGTGCCACCCGCGTCCCAACGACTCCACCTGTAGTATTTGGTAAATTTACAACGATCCATCTCCGTCATTGGAGGCTGACTGACTGTATGTTACCTGGCCCAAATGGGGTTGTTGCTAAGATATAAGGCCTTGAAAAACATTATACTTAGGTATCTATTGGAATGTTTCTATGCTTACGAGCAAGCTCAGACCTTGAAGTCAGCTAGCAGGGCCCTTCTCATGGTGCTACTACAACGAGTTTGAGTTATGTAGGGGATAAGGAGGCATTTCTTGGCATTTCACTAAGTCCCTACACAACTCACAACCATTGTGGTAAGACAACAGTAGGTAACATGTGAGATCACTTGAACTCCCCGGTATGTTCTTTTGATGTGTGATGAGATAGTGCCAGCTAGTCACACTTCCCACCCCTTGAAAAGGCTATACACAAAAAAGTTGAAAAAGGCTTTTCCATGTGAGGTAAAACCCTGGTTGTCCCAGGATTCCTCTCCCATCATGAAGGAGCCCTAAACATGCACATACATAGGGCCACTTCACATGGCTGCCAAATTTACAGCCAGCATACCCATCCATAGGCCTGGAGGGGTGCCAGCAGTGTATGGGGGGTGTCTCAACACTCATCTCAAGTGGGAGGTTAAGGCCAACATTTGCTGACATTGCTGTCCAAGTAATACTTAATGTCAGCTGTGACAGAGAGGGGAAATTTGTTCTGGACTGGAGAAGAACCAGGGAAGGAGTATGCATGATTAAAGAAGACGCTTTGTTGCATTTGTGCTAGTAAATAATTTTGTGTAGCCAAATACATAACACTAAGTTGGTTGAAGCTATAGTTTGTTGAACACACTACAAACTATCCCACAGACAAACAAACCATGTTTTGTTTCTCCAGCATTTAGGGTTGTTTCTCTCTCTCCCCCCCCCCCATTGCTCTTGACTCATGCCTTCATAGTTTGGTGAAAGTCATATCTAAAACCAACCAAGGTTTATAAGCCAACAACAAACAATGGTTTTAGCTTGTGGTTAGTTGGCAGTAAACAAACCATAGTTAGGCCAATATGTAATGTATAACCAACCATGGTTTAGTGTTATGTGTGAACCAGGTCAGTAAAAACCCTCTTATTACATCAGGATCCACTAATAATTAGAGTACAAAAATGTCAATATTTTTGTCATTCTGACAAAATTTGGCATACCTAAAGAATGATGAACATAAAATCTAGTCTACTGTATAATGAACATACAATAAAGTCCAATAAAGTCCTTATACTTCCCTCTGCTGTTGGTAAGCAGTCCGCCTTTATCTTTTTACAGGATTGTGCAGGCACATTTAAATAATAATCATAATCATACAGCTCCCTTTGTAATTTCAGTAGAATGAAAAAATTCTGCGTGTCAGAGGAGAAATAACCATGTGCCAAATAGAAATCTTTATGTATTGTGGCAATATGGTAAAATAAACAGGACAGAAAGCATATTGCCAAAGGAACAAACCATTTCTTGGAACAAAAAGGATAAATTTGCTATAACTGAACAAAAGGAAAGTTTGGATTTGATGTTTCCAAGCCATGTGCTTAAAGTTTGTGATCCTTTAGCAAATGCCTGGCAGTTGGCCTTCTTGTAACTCTAAGAGATTGTTATCTTATATATTGCAACTTCGTTTGGAAGATTAACAAGTATGATTTTATTTCTGCAGGTCAACTCAATGGAATTTCCTATATCAATAAAGTTTAGATTCAATAAGATTTAGCGAACTTACAAATGCTAATGTCTGAAATCTATCTTTATTTTCTTTCTTTATCTTCAACTCTTTACCTAAAAAAGAGGGGAAAGCCCCATCTACAGTATACATCTAGAGCAGTATCATACCACTTTAAACAGTGGCGGCTTTCCCCAAATAATCCTATACACTGTAGTTTGTTAATAGTGCTGAGAGTTTTTATGATATCCCTATCCCGCTCACAAAGTTCATAGAGTGGTTTAGCCATCAAACCCCCTTCTCAGTAATTGTAGCTCTGAGTTCCAAGGATGATTTGGGGGAAGCCAAGTCTCCTGCCAACCTAGCAGTTCGAAAGCACGTCAAAGTGCAAGTAGATAAATAGGTACTGCTCCAGCGGGAAGGTAAACGGCATTTCCGTGCGCTGCTCTGGTTCACCAGAAACGGCTTAGTCATGCTGGTCACATAACCCGGAAGCTGTACGCCGGCTCCCTCGGCCAATAAAGTGAGATGAGCACCGCAACCCCAGAGTCGGTCACGACTGGACCTAATGGTCAGGGGTCCCTTTACCTTTACCTTTAAGTCTGTTTAAAGTGATATAATACCACATCAGAGGTGGATTGAGGGGCAGGGAACCTTGGGAGTGCCACAGGGGACATTACAACTATTATTTAGAATGGAGTGTCGAAAGGCAGGGGCCGTGAAATCTTGATGTCGCACAGAGTGCCACTCAAATTTGAGATCTGAGGGTCCACCATGGACTACTTTAAATGTATAGCATGGATGGGCGCTAAATATATACCATACTTTTCTGTCTATAAGACGCTCCCATGTATACCCCCCCCCCCTATTTTGGAGAACTCAATTTTAGGAAAATGATGGGAGAGGGCCCAAAGTTGTTGAGCCTCTCTTCCCCCATGCAGCTGTGGGCAGGAAACACTTCCTAGATGGTTCCCCACACGCAGCGGCATCAGGGGGAGTTGCGCTCCCGCCAGCCATCCGGTTGGCGGGAGCGCAACCTCCTCTGATGCCGCCGTGCGGGGGAAACAATCCAGGGAGCGCCCACCACACACAGCGGCATCTGTTGCACTCCTGACAACGAGCTGGCTGGAGGTGTGCAACTTCTCCCCCCCACACACACACACAGCTGCAGGCAGGAAACACCTCCCAGATCACTCCCCACTCGCTGCAGCATTGCGGGAAGCCGCATTCCTGCCAACGAGCTGGCTAGCAGAGCGCCACTCCCACCCCCCATGCCACTATCCATGTATTGGATGACCCCAGCTTTTTGACGTTGTTTTTGAGTCAAAAACCTCGTCTAATACATGGAAAAGTACTTGGTTTTACTTATTACTTACTTTACAGTACTTATGATGCATACAAATCAATGATACATTGCATGAGTTGGCAAACTAAGGCCCGGGGCCGGATCTGACCCAATCGCCTTCTAAATCCGGCCTGCGGACGGTCCGGGAATCAGTGATGTTTTTACATGAGTAGAATGTGTGCTTTTATTTAAAATGCACCTCTGGGTTATTTGTGGGGCATAGGAATTCATTCATTCCACACACACACACCCCAAAAATATAGTCCGGCCTCCCACAAGGTCTGCGGGACAGTGGACCGGCCCCCTGCTGAAAAAGTTTGCTGACCCCTGCTACATTATAAAGGCAATTTACAGGATAAATAAAGATTCATGTCTGCCTAACCTTTTTATCACTCTAACTTGACTGGTTGTTGTTTTCTAAAAGAAGTGAAGATTATTTTGATGATTATGATGATTAATAACATTTATCAATTGCTTTACTGATTAAAAATAACTCCAAGTGACTTACAATCACAGTAGAGATACTAAAATCAATTGCAATAAACACAATCAATAAAAACCTTAACACTACATCATCTGCACAAATAAAGACATGTCATGCCAAAAAAAGCTGTGAATACTTAAAAACTCTTCAAACTAAGGGCCAAAAGGCCAGGTAAAAAGGAAAGCTTTTGCCTGGTGTTTAAAACAAGGTAACCTTGTTGGGTTCCTGGAAGTTGGAAACAGGATACTGGACTGGCTTGATCCAGAGTTATTCTTTGTTCTTAAGTTCTAAAAAAATGTATCTGACAAACTGCTGGTGGAGTCAGGAGACAGGCTTGGTGGCCAGAACTATTCCCAAATTAAGGGGAACTGTTACCGATTCCCACACTGAAGAAATTATAAAATACATAAAGTATAAAGCATAAAAATATTATATTTACCTGATAAGACAACTTCAACAAGATCACCTTCTTGGATATCAGTAGCTGACTTCACCAACTGGAGAATATTTTCAGTGGTAGGGTCATGGCGAAAAAGTAGAATTTTATCATACATTCCATAAAAGCCACATTCAGGAAACTGAAAATGAATAAAATTGAGAATTTGTTTCAGTGACAAGTAGTATGTAAGCATTCTTTGGGTAGTTTGAATCAGTACAATAAGGGGGAAGCAATGTTGACTGAGGTGCGAACTGAAGTTCCTGAGAAAGAAACCACAAATCATACCAGCAGCCCTTTTCTGCAAGAGTAGAGACGATATTGCTTATACATTCCATTTTAGATTTGCAAAGTGTGATTCTGAAAATTAACATTTAAAGTTTCTATAGAAATACAAGAATACATATTGGTTTATTTGTTTTTGATTTATTATAGGCAGTATCCAATTTACTCATTTCATCAGTGAATGTGTTTTTCTTGTACAACAGAACTTTCCCCACTCTTCTCCCTAAATCTGTTTTGGGGGTTACCTCAACCTCTGGAGCAGTTTTGGGGTGGGCGTGGGATACACACAAGGAGAGTAGAAGGGAGAATTCCCATTGCACAAACGGAAATCCTTGTGTTTATTGGATATCACCCTATAGATCCATATAAGGTCTGTAAGAAGGGGAAGGTTTGTAACCAGCTTAAATGGTAGTAGGTTGCTTTAGTTTAAATCCCAAGTAGCACTTTCCTTTAGTTCACTTGAATAAGTTTCCTCAATGAGTAGAATAGGGAAACTAATAAATGTTTGCATTTTTTGCAGAAGTGGATGAAATTTGCAGGCATCAAAACACCTTTCGGAGTCCAAAATTTCAGACCGATGGGCATTTGCCTCAACCCCTCCCAGAAACTGCTTTGGGGACAACACAATTTTTTGCCCCATTCCTGCTCTAACCCTAATGTGGATGATACTTTACTGAATATGTGAAAGGGTACACTAGCATAGTGTTTTGTGCACTGTTATGCTGTATGTGTGTGATACTGTTTCACAACACAAGAAAGTACATAAGCAGACATTCCAGCTCCCGGACGATCGAAAACTGGAAGTGTTCCGGTTTTTGAACGTTCTTTTGGAAGCAGAACGTCCGGCGGGGCTTCCACGGCTTCTGATTGGTTGCAGGAAGATCCAGCAGCCAATCGAAGCTGCACCTTGGAAGTCAAACGTTTTGGAAGTCAAACGGACTTCCGGAACGGATTCCGTTTGGCTTCCAATGTACGGCTGTAATGAGATTTTTCACATACACATCAAAGACTTCAAATTAATAGACTTGCAATTTTGAACATGAACCCAGGATTGTGACTTATACATGCATGCAAGCAAAGCACAGATATATAAATAAAATTCAATAGCTACATTTGTAGTTCATACACATCACAAAAAAGGTACAGGGTAGTCAATCTCCTGCAGACAGACAAAATAAATAGCCTAAAAGTTTTAAAATAAGAGCCAGAAGAACTTTTATGTGCCTTCTAAAATCTTGTTTCAAAATAACAACAAAAAGCAAGCAAGTCTGCCCAGCTCCAGTTTGCTTCTCAGTCTTTCTCACCATAATACCTGCCAAGATTGTAAATTGCTCCAACAAGCACTTAGGAAAAGCCGTTTCCCTAAAATAAACATTGCTGCTAATATAACGTCAGCTTTTCCAAACACTTCAGGTAAACAAGTTTACTCACTATTTGGAAAATACCCAAAGAAAACACTGAGCAATCTAGCCACCAACAAGCTTTTCTTACCAAAAAAAAGGAGGGGAATAAGTATGAGTATCTATGCTGAAGGAGACACAGAGGTGCACTGTGATTCTCAGGTGTCCTTGCTCTTCAAAACTGAAACAGGGAACTGAAAACTTAGATTTTGCTACTTTCCTATCTATTACCTCAGGTAACCAGTGATGTTGCTCTCAGTATTTCTGCGCTTCTTTTTTGTTTTCTTACTTAAGTTTATGTTCCTTTTTACACAAGATTTGTCACCTCTCTTTTACCTCAGACTTCTGCTGCTATTGTTTTCTCACAGGAACCTGCTTCATAATTCACTTCATTCCTTAAGATGTTGTGGTGCTGAGTTGTTGCTTTAAAAAAAATAAAATAAGGTTTCTGTTTTCCTTGCTTTCTCCTTCTTTTGCAGGCATTCGGGCAGGGTGTGTATGTCAATTCTTTACCCATTTCCTTTCACACACTTTAAACTCCTGCACTGGAAGTCTGATATCTTCTTTCGACTTGCAGGACTATTGTTAAGCTGATGGTGTTCCAGCTCTATCTTTCCCTCCCTCTAGTCTTACTGATATTTCCAACTGCCTTCATAGACTCCCACATCACATCATTGTCTCAACCAGAAGAGTGCTTATTGTCTTGCCCCCTAAGCCTTAAATTTTACATTTGCTTTTCCCTTCCTTACAAATCACCATTCTTCTTAATTCACTGCAAGAACTTGGATTCCGTCTCACTTTTCACTTCACAAAACTGCTCTTATCAATCATATCTACATATTTTAAAAACAAATCCTTTCTTATCTACTGATTGTATAAACACCCTTATTCAGAGGCTCATTCCATCCCACGATGATTGCCATGATATATTTTATGTAGCAATTTTCCTGCTTTTCAGTTTAAGGATACAATCCTGTACACACTTAACTGGAAGTGAGCTCCTTTTAAACTTTATGAGACTGAAGTAGCAATCCCAACCATACCTACTCATAAGTCCCATTAAATTCAATACAGCTTACTCCCAGATTACTCACAAGTCTTAACAAACTACAGTGCCCATAATCCTCTGAGAGAAAGAATGTGTCTTAAGGTATACAGTGGTACCTCGGGTTAAGAACTTAATTCGTTCCAGAGGTCTGTTCTTAACCTGAAACGGTTCTTAACCTCAGGCGTGCTTTTGCTAATGGGGCCTCCTGTTGCCACTGTGCCGCTGGTGCACAATTTCCGTTCTTATCCTGGGGCAATGTTCTTAACCTGGAGCAACCACTTCCTGGTTAGCAGAGTTTGTAACCCGAAGTGTCTGTAACCTGAAGCATCTGTAACCTGAGGTACCACTGTAGTGTGTACATAGCCTCAGCTTTTCCTGGCTTCTTCTATTATCAATATTAAGATTAAACTACGCATTTTAAGTTCATTCTTGTTCCTGTCCCTTATCTTTTTTTTATTTCTTCCTCTTGCTATTCATCAAATGCTAGTCGTCTTACCAAACCTCTGCTACCTTCTGCTATTTCTCATCTTGATGCTTTCACTCCCCTGTTCACATTTAGAAGGGCTTCTCTTTGTCCTCTTTTACAAAATGATTAAGGACTCCTCTCTTTTCTCTTGCTGCTGCTGATCTGTTTTGATTCTCTTGTTTGGGCCTTTTTTGCCACTCATTTCGTTTGCCATTAGTTTCTCCCTCCCTCTCTCTCCATATTCTCATGTTTTTTAATCGCCATTGCGAGACAGGAGGAAGGGGTCTCTGCATATTTAAGGGAAGAAGACAATGTCAAATTGAAGGTGTTGGCAAGAAAGCTTCTGAAAACTATGCAAGCTAATAACTCTGCTGATCTTGCAAGATTGAACTCCAATCACAATTCCCCTGCCTCTTTCTCAATAGTGTTAGTAGTTCCAAATATTAACTTTGACTCCAGACCACACATACTTCCCTTTGCATACTAGAGTATCCTTCCGTAATTTTAAGATTAAAAACTATGTTTTGACAGTAATTCTATGGCTTCTATGAAATTCTGGAGAACACTGTGCAACCCACAAAAATATCAGAAGCCTTAATTTCAGACCTGCCTCCCCTTCTACAAGGGCTTCCGCTGATGCGGTTCAATAGGTTAACACTGCCCTAAACACACACATACAGTCTTCTTCTGCACCCATGTTTTGATGGATTGTTACCTGCCCATGTAAACAAATTAGAGATGACATTGTTCCCTTAAGATACAGGTGGGTAACCTTCAATGCTCAATGCTTTCTGAAGCTGCCCCATTCTTCCAACCCATAAATTCATTTCATTTCATTAGTTTCCTCCTTGTTATTTGCCGGCTTTTAAAACTATTCTCTCCTCCCCCAACCTCTTTCTATGTAGTTACAGAACAACTGGAAGGGGCAATGTTTTATTTAATAAAAATAAACTGTTTTTTTAAACACGTATTTTCCTCGTTGAACTGCTCAGGTAAAAGCAGCTTTCCCCCACCTGTCTGAGAACAAATTAGGAGGCTTCAGGCCAAGAACAAAACAGCAGGTTTCTGTGCTCTGTGTGTGCATGTATAGCATACAAAAGTCAGTGGGACTTTTGTATGCTATACATACAAGGAACTCAGTGGGGCTTACTTCTGAGTAGATAGCAAATTGTAATTTGAAGTAGCCATGGTGAAAAATGCAGCAGGGTGGTCTTCATTCCCTCTTAATTAATCCAGAACACTTTTGTCTCCACTCACCACCAACATACAACCCCCAACAGATTATCCTCAAATGTATGAGACCTTCAACAGAAACAAAATTGCCCACTCATGGTTTTAAAAAATAAACAAATGCAGCCCAAGAGGATCAGACGAAAAAGACTAGCTACTACAGAATCCTGTTTCCAGCAGTGGTCAGCTACATATTTCCCAGGAATCCCTCCTGAAGTGATATTTAGTGGCATGGCTGATGGGTAGACTTATCACCCATGCATTTGTCCAATTCCTCTTTAGGCCACCTAAACCCATAGACATTATCACATACTGTGGCACTGAATTTTTTAAAAATGCATTCTGTTAAATACTTGCTTTACTTTGTCTCAAATCTACTTCCAATGAAGTTCATTTAGAAGAGCAGACCCAGAATAGCTGCCTGCAAAATAAAATTGGCACTCCCAATTCTATTAACAATGCAGAATTTGTTGTCTTAAGGTTCTGAACACCTTTGAGTGTGATGAAGGTTTCTTTGTGCACATCGGGCCCATCAGGAACTGTTTAGAAATAAGCACATCTATTTTTGCCACTGTGGTCTGAAGGTGCAAGGCAAGGACATGTTTTCGTTCTCAGACTGTTTCTGTGCATTCCTTTCCACACAAAGGTCTTCTCTTCTCATTCATGAAGATTCCTATAGCATTTCGTAGGCCTCGTTTCTATAAAAGCTTCAG